CACACACACACGCGCGCGCACACACCGACGCATGTTACACATAAGTGCATCTATAAGTACTATATGCCGGCATTGATCCACATGTCCGCATCTTTGGTTTCATCTAAATTGGGGTACAATGGTGAAGCAACGTGTTCGCGGATGTATTGCAATGGGTCCAGGAGAAGCAAGAAATGGTGCGCGAAAGGTTCTGTGCAGCAGACTTGGGGCACGTCAGACGCACAGACAGCATGCCTCATTCTGCAGGCGTACAGAGCCATCCTTTTTCGTCCGAATGTACCAGCTCTGAGAAAATCTGAAAAAGGTTTCGCCCAGAAGATACCCGAAATCTGCGATCGTCGCCGCGAAAGACGGCAGCATGCATGTCTGCTCATGCGATGCTCAGCTTCAAGGCCGCCTGGGTCTCCTGTCCACTTGTCCTTCGGCGAGCTCGACGAACTCGTCGGGCTTGTGCCCAGAACATGAGGCTGTTTCTCATGCTGGCAAGAGCCGTGGTCGTGTTTTCGTTCTGGTTGAAGCTGCTGTTGTTTCCAGTCGAGAGATTTGACGTTTTTGGATGTTTTGCTTCGGTGTTGCTGGGGAGGGGAGGTGACGAGTTCCGGCAGTTCGTGTGCATGCATGCTGCGCAGAAATACCTAGCGGGAGCTCTTGATGAATCCTGGCCCAGCGGTCGGGACCATCCCCGAACAGGATCCCTCGCATTCCGACATCATGTAGCATCGAGTTCTCGGCAGCAGCAGCAGCAGCAGCAGCAGCAGCAGCAGCAGCAGCATTCGCAGCAGCCTATGCAGAGATTTCCTGTCGTGGGTGATAGCATTCGTAGCAGTAGTAGCGGTGGTCGTCGTCGTAGTAGTAGTAGTAGTAGTAGTAGTTGTTGTTGTTGTTGCAGCAGCAGCAGTATGGTAGTAGTGGTGCTGCTACTACTACTACTACTACTACTACTACTCCTGCTGCTGCTGCTGCTGCTGCACTACGACGACGACGACGACTACTACTACGGTGACCACTTTTAAACATGT